TGTCGGTGGGTCTCCAGGGGTATAGGCTTTGGTGCTTTCCCTGGTGGGCAGACCCCTGGGGATGTGGGCCCAACAAGTCCCAAATTTGTTGCCAACAGTCTTAGTCCTGTTAATCCCTAACTCCAGTGAAAAATCCTCACCTGGGGAAACAACCTTTCTCAGGGAGGTGGTCCTGTTTAAAACACATAGCGCTAAGAGGGGGAGCAAACATACACCAGGTCCCTTGAAACATAAGCTGTGCAGATGTTTCTTCCCTGCAGCGACTGTGTCAAGCAGCAAGGGTGGACTGGCTTCCGGCAAATTCCCTCATTTTTATTTTTTAAATGACAGCACGTATAAATCAGCAGCCACCTCTCAGATTGGGTTGTTTAAGACTTGGCAGAAGACTTGTTTGTGATTTTGCTAACAGGTCAGTCTGAGGCTTAACCCTATATTGGCTCCCCACAGTGTCCCAAGGACAATAAATTGCTATGAAGCAGAGAAGAGAGGAAAGTGTCGAGGATGATCCCTGAGTCTCTGGTTGGGCTGTCTGGATGTATGATGACGCCAGCCCTGAGAAACTGGATATTGGAGGAGAACCACATTTGTGCAGCTCATGTCCTTGGTTTGGGGTACATTGAGTTGGAAAGGCCTGTGGAGTAATATAGTAGGTAGTTGGGTATCAAAGCCTGAGACTCACAGAAAGCATAAACATGTATATAAACTAAAAGTGCCAAAGGAATGTTTTATTTGTGTGTGTTTCTCTCTCTACACTACAAATGTGTCTTTAGAAAATAAAGGAATGAAAGCTCTAAACATGCCAAAGTCTATTCCACCTTCACTGACATCCAAGGTCCAGGTGAAAATTTCTCTCAATATAAATCAAACATGACTTGACCTGGGGAAACAGACCTCAGGGGGAGAAAATATGCCTTGAAATTCTCAGGGACTCAGAGGTCTCAGGAGGGAGACTACTCTGGGGTGAAGACTATGCAGTGCGCACACCCGTCCCCAGGCACTGCATCCAGACTGAGTTATGGGGAAAAGTCTGCGTATAAAACACATTCTTACCACATGTACCCTGAGCATATGGAAAACAAAAATAAAACCACAGATTATTCCTCTGATCAAAAATGTTTTTATAGTTTAAATTAGATTCTGCCTATAAAAAATTTGGGAGATTCAAAGACTTTATTATACTTTGTAGTCATATGTTTTCGAGAACTAAAATTACAGTTTAAAGTATTTTCTTCCTAAGCATTACTTTGCCAAAAAAGAAAGTTACACTGTCTCAACATTTTTCAACTTTTATACAACAGTCATTATGATATTTGGTATTTCCTAAAGGATACTTATTACAATCAGTTAGGTCCCATCTCAACCCTGTTTGCTCTGTAGCAGCTTTTGTTCACAACTCACATTAAAATCAAGCCACTTCATTTCCTATTGCTGTGTGATGCTAACTCAGCCCTTCCTACCAGTGATTCCTTTTTCTTGTATCAACTCTGTGCTCTGCCAAGTGATTTAGAAGCAAAAGCCTGGAAATCTAGATCCAGATTATGACAATTTGCAAGGCTAGTAACTTTGATAGTGGGACCCGGTGCACTAAATCAAAGCCAAGAAGTGAACGTATTTGCCTGACTGGACAGGGAGTTTATAAATGCTATATAATCACGGTGCCAAGAGATGAAGATAAATGGTTCCGGGTAAGCCAAACGTTATGTTTTGGTCTGTCCTGAATATAAATACATGTCTGGGAGAGTAAGAGAAGTCCGTTAGAAATAACTGAAAACAAAGGGGTGAGCTTGAATTGCCGCTGTGCTGCGTTAAGTGTGAGGCAGGATGGAGAG